CCTGGCCATCCGAGTACTCACTCACTTGCATCCTGCCAGATGGCCAGGTCGAGCTGACAAATGCTGGTGGTCGCACCCGTAGGGTGCAAGGCCACAATCTGAAGGTGTACCTCAAGAGCGATGTGGATCCGCTCTTGGAGGCACCTGTTCTTGCACCCCTCTGAGTATCCACCATGGGCGTCCAGCTAAAAGACGGTAAATAAGCGCTTGTGGGGAGGCAACCCCACCATGGTTTGCATTTCTTTTTCCCTTTTTCTGTGTTTTGGTGTCGTGTTGAGTCAGTTGCATGTCTGTGTTGAAGTTCGGTCGTCTGTTATGCCTCGGTTTGGTGTTTTCGTGCAGGGGAGGTCGAAAAATTGGGAGTCTGAGTATTTTGGCCAGAATGGGAAAATACCCGGTCGTGGGCCAAAATACCCGACCGGGTATTTTTTGGCACGTGAACGGGACCCCTTTTGCCTTCCAGGGCGAAAAATGGCAAATCCTCGACCTTAACCCAAAAATACCCGACCGGGTATTTTTTGCTCAAGGCCGGGGATTTCCCAACCTTGGAACGATGCGTTTCAGGATCCCCGAACTTGACCCAAAAATTCCCGACCGGGTATTAACTCACTTCTAATGTCACCCTAGGAATTGGCCAAGTGAAACCACTTCCTAAAGCGTAGTATAGCGGGTTTGGGTTTAAATGTCAACCCGGGTCCTAGATTTGATGGCTACTCGGTAAATTCTTGTTATCTAGCAATGAAACTGTAGTGCAGGTCTAAACTAACAAACAAACAAAGCAAGTAAACGGTTGTATTCAAGTTAAGAGAGGTCACCCGGATATGGTTCCCCCTAGACTGCAGTTAAGCCGGATTGCAATTACCAAGTTCAGTTTCTATGATAGTTATACTACGGAAGGTTCTTAAATAGCCTGAAGTCTCGACTAAAGGTCTTCTGACCCTCTCAATCTGAGTCTCTAGCGGGCGACTAACCTCCACCGGAGTAAACAGATTGAGGCCCTATGAACAAAACCTCCACTACCGAAGTGAATCCGGTACAGAATAGTGAGTTGGCTCCTCGACTAAAGTCACCAACTCCCTATACCTTCAATCAAGGATGCTCTATCAACCTAGGCAGATATTCTCATTCTAGGTTAAAGCAGAAACAACATGAATTTGATCAGGATTCATGCCACTCAATCATTCAAACCTCAATTGAATATAATCAAATCATAGAATCAGTACTTGGGTTCATACAATCAAACCTAACATACAAATCTAGGGTTCTCCATACCCAGATGAATGGGAGAACTACTCCATGGAGAAAGAAGCAAAAGCAGAATCAGACGCGGAATTCATACTGTGAAAGATGGATTCCTGCTCCTGGACGTTGATTGGCACTTCTCCAAGCTCGAGCTGGCCTCCAATGGTGATGAAGATCAAGCTAGGGCACTTGGAGACTCTTGTTCGTCGCTTTCTCTCTCTAGGAATCTCTCTCTCTCTCTCTCTCTCTCTCTAAAACTCGAATCCCCTTCTGTTTTGACTGAAATCTGCTTAAAAGGACATCACTGGGCAAATCACGGTCGAGGGCACGGCCGTGCTTTGCCTCAGCCCGCCCGTGCTTTGGCTAGGGTTAATTACACGGCCAGCCTGTTGGGAGAAACACGGCCGTGCTTTTGGGTGGACACGGCCGTGCTTTGGTGGACACGGCCGTGTAATTTCTCAGCCCTGCCCGTGTAATCAGCTCGTGTTTGCCAAACTCGAATTAGCTCTCGGCAGTAAAAGCACGGCCTAGGAACACGGCTGTGTTCTGTTTTAGGTGTGCCCGTGTTTTGGCTCCTACTCGACGAAATGACTTCCGAATGCCCCGAAACTCGTGCTTAGCCTTTCCTTTGACGCCTGGGACCTGAAATATGACAAAATAGCACAACCCAGCGTAAAATAGGCCAAAAATACATGACTATGCCCCTCAAACGGATAAGAACTAGGGGTGCAAATACGTGCAATTACATCGTTATCAGGTATTTTTGGCTCAAGGCCGGGGATTCCAGCACTTGAAAACGCGCGCTGTTGATGGACTTCTTTACGGAGCGCTTCCATCAGATGGAGCTCCAGTTCCAGCAGCTTGGACTTCAGGGCCAGCAGCTCATGGACCATCAGGTCTAGTTTTACCAGCAGTATTCAGCCCACCAGGCCGAGTACCAGTCCAGGCTGACAGTTGTAGACGAGCGCCTCGACCGGATGGAGGCCCAGATGGGAGTCACTGGTGCTCTCATCGAGCAGGAGCGGGATCGTGGCCACATGTTGATGGAGTACCAGGAGCACCTGCTCCAGTCTTGTCACCCACCAGATTGGAGTCATTGGTGCAAACTGTTTTGTGTGTTGGTTTATTTTCTTTCTTTTTATTTTTATTTTGGATGATGTACGATTGGGCAGACCATTGGACCTAACGTCTTGTGTTTGAGTTCCTCTGTTCTCTTTAGTTGTGCTTTGTTCCTGATTGGTCCTCTCTTTAGTCCACTTCACTCAGACTGGTCCCCTTACAGTCTCATGCAGTCTGTGCACACTGGTAACATCATTCCCCTTATCCTTCCCTCTTCTGCATTGAGGGCAATGTCGATCTTAAGTGTGGGGGGGATGCTTTGCCTCAGCCCGCCCGTGCTTTGGCTAGGGTTAATTACACGGCCAGCCTGTTGGGAGAAACACGGCCATGCTTTTGGGTGGACACGGCCGTGCTTTGGTGGACACGGCCGTGTAATTTCTCAGCCCTGCCCGTGTAATCAGCTCGTGTTTGCCAAACTCGAATTAGCTCTCGGCAGTAAAAGCACGGCCTAGGAACACGGCCGTGTTCTGTTTTAGGTGTGCCCGTGTTTTGGCTCCAGCTCAACGAAATGACTTCCGAATGCCCCAAAACTCGTGCTTAGCCTTTCCTTTGACGCCTGGGACCTGAAATATGACAAAATAGCACAACCCGGCGTAAAATAGGCCAAAAATACACGACTATGCCCCTCAAACGGATAAGAACTAGGGGTGCAAATACGTGCAATTACATCGTTATCAGGTATTTTTGGCTCAAGGCCGGGGATTCCAGCACTTGAAAACGCGCGCTGTTGATGGACTTCTTTACGGAGCGGTTCCAGCAGATGGGGCTCCAGTTCCAGCAGCTCGGACTTCAGGGCCAGCAGCTCATGGACCATCAGGTCCAGTTTTACCAGCAGTATTCAGCCCACCAGGCCGAGTACCAGTCCAGGCTGACAGTTGTAGACGAACGCCTCGACCGGATGGAGGCCCAGATGGGAGTCACTGGTGCTCTCATCGAGCAGGAGCGGGATCGTGGCCACATGTTGATGGAGTACCAGGAGCACCTGCTCCAGTCTTGTCACCCACCAGATGGGAGTCATTGGTGCAAACTGTTTTGTGTGTTGGTTTATTTTCTTTCTTTTTATTTTTATTTTGGATGATGTACGATTGGGCAGACCATTGGACCTAACGTCTTGTGTTTGAGTTCCTCTGTTCTCTTTAGTTGTGCTTTGTTCCTGACTGGTCCTCTCTTTAGTCCACTTCACTCAGACTGGTCCCCTTACAGTCTCATGCAGTCTGTGCACACTGGTAACATCATTCCCCTTATCCTTCCCTCTTCTCCATTGAGGGCAATGTCGATCTTAAGTGTGGGGGGGATGCTTTGCCTCAGCCCGCCCGTGCTTTGGCTATGGTTAATTACACGGCCAGCCTGTTGGGAGAAACACGGCCATGCTTTTGGGTGGACACGGCCGTGCTTTGGTGGACACGGCCGTGTAATTTCTCAGCCCTGCCCGTGTAATCAGCTCGTGTTTGCCAAACTCGAATTAGCTCTCGGCAGTAAAAGCACGGCCTAGGAACACGGCCGTGTTCTGTTTTAGGTGTGCCCGTGTTTTGGCTCCAGCTCAACGAAATGACTTCCGAATGCCCCAAAACTCGTGCTTAGCCTTTCCTTTGACGCCTGGGACCTGAAATATGACAAAATAGCACAACCCGGCGTAAAATAGGCCAAAAATACACCACTATGCCCCTCAAACGGATAAGAACTAGGGGTGCAAATACGTGCAATTACATCGTTATCAGGTATTTTTGGCTCAAGGCCGGGGATTCCAGCACTTGAAAACGCGTGCTGTTGATGGACTTCTTTACGGAGCGGTTCCAGCAGATGGGGCTCCAGTTCCAGCAGCTCGGACTTCAGGGCCAGCAGCTCATGGACCATCAGGTCCAGTTTTACCAGCAGTATTCAGCCCACCAGGCCGAGTACCAGTCCAGGCTGACAGTTGTAGACGAACGCCTCGACCGGATGGAGGCCCAGATGGGAGTCACTGGTGCTCTCATCGAGCAGGAGCGGGATCGTGGCCACATGTTGATGGAGTACCAGGAGCACCTGCTCCAGTCTTGTCACCCACCAGATGGGAGTCATTGGTGCAAACTGTTTTGTGTGTTGGTTTATTTTCTTTCTTTTTATTTTTATTTTGGATGATGTACGATTGGGCAGACCATTGGACCTAACGTCTTGTGTTTGAGTTCCTCTGTTCTCTTTAGTTGTGCTTTGTTCCTGATTGGTCCTCTCTTTAGTCCACTTCACTCAGACTGGTCCCCTTACAGTCTCATGCAGTCTGTGCACACTGGTAACATCGTTCCCCTTATCCTCCCTCTTCTCCATTGAGGGCAATGTCGATCTTAAGTGTGGGGGGGATGCTTTGCCTCAGCCCGCCCGTGCTTTGGCTAGGGTTAATTACACGGCCAGCTTGTTGGGAGAAACACGGCCATGCTTTTGGGTGGACACGGCCGTGCTTTGGTGGACACGGCCGTGTAATTTCTCAACCCTGCCCGTGTAATCAGCTCGTGTTTGCCAAACTCGAATTAGCTCTCGGCAGTAAAAGCACATCCTAGGAACACGGCCGTGTTCTGTTTTAGGTGTGCCCGTGTTTTGGCTCCAGCTCAACGAAATGACTTCTGAATGCCCCGAAACTCGTGCTTAGCCTTTCCTTTGACGCCTGGGACCTGAAATATGACAAAATAGCACAACCCGGCGTAAAATAGGCCAAAAATACACGACTATGCCCTTCAAACGGATAAGAACTAGGGGTGCAAATACGTGCAATTACATCGTTATCAGGTATTTTTGGCTCAAGGCCGGGGATTCAAGCATTTGAAAACGCGCGCTGTTGATGGACTTCTTTACGGAGCGGTTCCAGCAGATGGGGCTCCAGTTCCAGCAGCTCGGACTTCAGGGCCAGCAGCTCATGGACCATCATGTCCAGTTTTACCAGCAGTATTCAGCCCACCAGGCCGAGTACCAGTCCAGGATGACAGTTGTAGACGAGCGCCTCGACCGGATGGAGGCCCAGATGGGAGTCACTGGTGCTCTCATCGAGCAGGAGCGGGATCGTGGCCACATGTTGATGGAGTACTAGGAGCACGTGCTCTAGTCTTGTCACCCACCAGATGGGAGTCATTGGTGCAAACTGTTTTGTGTGTTGGTTTATTTTCTTTCTTTTTATTTTTATTTTGGATGATGTACGATTGGGCAGACCATTGGACCTAACGTCTTGTGTTTGAGTTCCTCTATTCTCTTTAGTTGTGCTTTGTTCCTGACTGGTCCTCTCTTTAGTCCACTTCACTCAGACTGGTCCCCTTACAGTCTCATGCAGTCTGTGCACACTGGTAACATTGTTCCCCTTATCCTTCCCTCTTCTCCATTGAGGGCAATGTCGATCTTAAGTGTGGGGGGGATTCTTTGCCTCAGCCCGACCGTGCTTTGGCTAGGGTTAATTACACGGCCAGCCTGTTGGGAGAAACACGGCCATGCTTTTGGGTGGACACGGCCGTGCTTTGGTGGACACGGCCGTGTAATTTCTCAGCCCTGCCCGTGTAATCAGCTCGTGTTTGCCAAACTCGAATTAGCTCTCGGCAGTAAAAGCACGGCCTAGGAACACGGCCGTGTTCTGTTTTAGGTGTGCCCGTGTTTTGGCTCCAGCTCAACGAAATGACTTCCGAATGCCCCAAAACTCGTGCTTAGCCTTTCCTTTGACGCCTGGGACCTGAAATATGACAAAATAGCACAACCCGGCGTAAAATAGGCCAAAAATACACGACTATGCCCCTCAAACGGATAAGAACTAGGGGTGCAAATACGTGCAATTACATCGTTATCAGGTATTTTTGGCTCAAGGCCGGGGATTCCAGCACTTGAAAACGCGTGCTGTTGATGGACTTCTTTACGGAGCGGTTCCAGCAGATGGGGCTCCAGTTCCAGCAGCTCGGACTTCAGGGCCAGCAGCTCATGGACCATCAGGTCCAGTTTTACCAGCAGTATTCAGCCCACCAGGCCGAGTACCAGTCCAGGCTGACAGTTGTAGACGAACGCCTCGACCGGATGGAGGCCCAGATGGGAGTCACTGGTGCTCTCATCGAGCAGGAGCGGGATCGTGGCCACATGTTGATGGAGTACCAGGAGCACCTGCTCCAGTCTTGTCACCCACCAGATGGGAGTCATTGGTGCAAACTGTTTTGTGTGTTGGTTTATTTTCTTTCTTTTTATTTTTATTTTGGATGATGTACGATTGGGCAGACCATTGGACCTAACGTCTTGTGTTTGAGTTCCTCTGTTCTCTTTAGTTGTGCTTTGTTCCTGATTGGTCCTCTCTTTAGTCCACTTCACTCAGACTGGTCCCCTTACAGTCTCATGCAGTCTGTGCACACTGGTAACATCGTTCCCCTTATCCTTCCCTCTTCTCCATTGAGGGCAATGTCGATCTTAAGTGTGGGGGGGATTCTTTGCCTCAGCCCGCCCGTGCTTTGGCTAGGGTTAATTACACGGCCAGCCTGTTGGGAGAAACACGGCCATGCTTTTGGGTGGACACGGCCGTGCTTTGGTGGACACGGCCGTGTAATTTCTCAGCCCTGCCCGTGTAATCAGCTCGTGTTTGCCAAACTCGAATTAGCTCTCGGCAGTAAAAGCACGGCCTAGGAACACGGCCGTGTTCTGTTTTAGGTGTGCCCGTGTTTTGGCTCCAGCTCAACGAAATGACTTCCGAATGCCCCAAAACTCGTGCTTAGCCTTTCCTTTGACGCCTGGGACCTGAAATATGACAAAATAGCACAACCCGGCGTAAAATAGGCCAAAAATACACGACTATGCCCCTCAAACGGATAAGAACTAGGGGTGCAAATACGTGCAATTACATCGTTATCAGGTATTTTTGGCTCAAGGCCGGGGATTCCAGCACTTGAAAACGCGCGCTGTTGATGGACTTCTTTACGGAGCGGTTCCAGCAGATGGGGCTCCAGTTCCAGCAGCTCGGACTTCAGGGCCAGCAGCTCATGGACCATCAGGTCTAGTTTTACCAGCAGTATTCAGCCCACCAGGCCGAGTACCAGTCCAAGCTGACAGTTGTAGACGAGCGCCTCGACCGGATGGAGGCCCAGATGGGAGTCACTGGTGCTCTCATCGAGCAGGAGCGGGATCGTGGCCACATGTTGATGGAGTACTAGGAGCACCTGCTCCAGTCTTGTCACCCACCAGATGGAAGTCATTGGTGCAAACTGTTTTGTGTGTTGGTTTATTTTCTTTCTTTTTATTTTTATTTTGGATGATGTACGATTGGGCAGACCATTGGACCTAACGTCTTGTGTTTGAGTTCCTCTGTTCTCTTTAGTTGTGCTTTGTTCCTGACTGGTCCTCTCTTTAGTCCACTTCACTCAGACTGGTCCCCTTACAGTCTCATGCAGTCTGTGCACACTGGTAACATCGTTCCCCTTATCCTTCCCTCTTCTCCATTGATGGCAATGTCGATCTTAAGTGTGGGGGGTGATGTTTCTCTTTTGACTGCATTAGATCTATTTGTGTGCTTGGAGCCTAGTCCACTGTCCAAATTTTTAAATTTGAGGGCTCCAAGTACGTGTTTCCTTACAAATTGCTTTCTCAATATGCTTTGAATTGACAGTCTCTATAGTAATGTGCAACCTAGGGAGGTAGTGTAGCACTATGGAGGATGTTGAAGTATAAGATTTTTCCTATCTAGCTCTTTGCTGTGCCATTTGATTTTGTGAATTAGTGGAGCTAGGACTGTTGAATTCATGTGTTAATGGTGACTCTATTTGGATTGTGTTATGGACTCGTGTATCGAACAGGGTGCTCATGTGGAAAATGAAAAGCAGTTGGTCCTCCATGTCGAAATCATCGAAATCTTAAACATAGGGAAAGCCCAACGTGTGTGGCACCGTTCATTGCACAAAGTCAGGTTTTGGAGGAGATTTTAATGATCCTTAGTGGGGTACTCCTACAAGGTGAAGCTAAGCTGTCTCTAGTACAAGTAAAACTTCCACCCGTTGAACCGTTTGCCTACTTGAGGATGTGTTTTTAAAGGCACGGATAGAGCTTCCGACCCCCCTTAATTTCATTGACCCTCCACATGAGTTGAGGAAAGGGAGTTAGAAGAAGTACTCTGGCGAGCACCAGATGTACAAAAATTGCTCTTGCTCGACTAATAAGGGTCGACCTTGCAAAAGACTGCAGTTGGAACCCCCGCTAAGTGAATGAAAAAAAAGTAAAATGAAAGTGAAAAGGGGTTCCAACGGTGAAATGAAGTGAAAGAGCACCCCGGTACAACGAGTCCTTGGTTGTGAATGGTGTGAGTCCATTTATCCATGAACTGACTGTCTTACTTCTACTTCTTCTGGTGATCCTAGCTTGAGTCTAGTACTCGCATTGAGAGAGATAGGGAGCGTCTTAGAAGACCAGTTGACCTCATAAGCTGCTATATGATCTAGGAAATCCTCTACCGGCGATTGGGGTTGTTTTTTGCTATAGAGGTCTGGAGAGTTGCATTGGTTTGAGTTGGGTTTGCTTGGGTACAAGCAAACGGTTAAGTGTGGGGGAGTTTGATAGACCATTGATTGCACATGTTTTTACCCCTATTCTTGAGCCGTTTGAGATGTTGATTCTCGTGTTTTTAGCCAATTTCACGCTAGGTTGTGCGTTTATGTCATATTTCAGGGCTTGGCATTGACATCGAGGTGCAGGAGCGAGTTTCGGGTCGAAAGGAGCACGTTTGGGTTGAAGTGTGCTGGAGGAGCAAAATACCCGGCCATGAGCAAAATACCCGGCCGGGTATTATTTGGAGCAGACCGGGGAATTCACGTTTTGGGCGTCTGAGAAGCAGAATGGGACCCGGTTGTGACGCTAAAATCCCCGGTCGGGGATTCTTGGACTTGACCGGGGATTTTCCCCTGTCCCCAGACGTGGCGTTTTGAAGATACCCGGCCCCTACCCATAATACCCGACCGGGTATTCAGGCCGGGGATCGCGACAGACAGCTTCTTAAGGGAAAAGAAGGGAAAAAGAGAAGGGTTCCGAGTTTTAGAGAGAAAAAGCGATACCTAGAGAGAGAAAGTGACGAACCTGATTCTGCAAGTGTTCTGGATCGATCTCCATCACCATTGGAGCGCGGCTTGAGCTTGGAGAAGAGCTGATTGAGTGCTAGAAGCAGATTCTCATTCTTCATAGTGTGGTTTCCGCATCTAAGCTAGATTTCCTATCTCTCTCTATGGAGTAACTTTCTTATTCACCTGGGTATGAAGAACCCTAGTTTGTATGTTAGGTCTGATTGTATGAACCCAAGTACAAATTTAGTGGTATGATTGTGTTCAATTGAGGTTTGATTTGTTGAATGGCATGAATCCTGATCAAATTCATGTTGTTTCTGCTTTAACCTAGAAAGAGAATATCTACCTAGGTTGATAGAGAACCCTTGATTGAACATAGGGAGTTGGTGACTTTAGTCGAGGAGCCAATTCACTATTCTGTACCGAATTTACTTCGGTAGTGGAGGTTTTGTTCGTTAGGGCCTCAATCTGTTTACTCCGGTAGAGGTTAGTTGCCCGGTGGAGAGTCAGATTGAGAGGGTCTGGAGGCCTTTAGTCGAGACTACAGACTGTTAAGAACCTCCCGCAGTATAACTATCACTGAAATTGGACTTGGTAAATTACAATCCGGCTTAACTGCAGTCTAGGGGGGGACCATATATGGGTGACCACTCTCGACTTGAAAACAACCTTTTTACTTGTTTTGCTTGTTTGCTTGTTTGGATCTTCACTAAAGTTTCACTGCTAGATAATAAGAACTCACTGAGTAGTCCTCACATCTAGGACCCGAGTTGACATTCAAACCCAGACCCGCTATACTACGCTGTAGGAAGTGGTTACACTAGGCCATTTTCTAGAGTAACAGTAAGAGCGAGTCATCGCGCGGCCGTGTGAGGCCTAAACTCATCTCCCTTCGCCGAAATTCTCTCCCCTCGTCGGTAAACCTTACTTTTTAAAAAGAATTTGCAATTTTTCCTACCATTTTTTGTTGGTTTTTCACAAAACCAACCTCATATTCCATATCCCCTCCTCCTTTTCGGCCTATCCCTTCGTTTTGAGGCGATTTGGGCCAGATTTGGGTCACCGGAGGTGATTTCCGACGAGGCTGCCACGAGCACTTCCAGGAAGAATTTTGGTGTTTCGTCATCCCCTACACCTTTACTTGTGTCTCCAGGTTTGATTTTGCCCTTTATATTGTGAATTGTGGAGAATTGGGTGTTAGGGTGTGTATTTAGAGAACCACATTGAAATGGGATGTTTCCTTGCTTGATTGAGCCCATGTGTGCTAGGAATTCGTCCATTCTATTCTTAATTTAAAAGTGCACACAAGGTGTTCGATGAAATGTAAGTTTTTTAATCGATTTTGTGGGGAGCCGGTTGAGGCCCTTAATGATGTGATCTGATGGTGTGTTTTCTATGGATGTGAACCTTGAGTTGCCTACTTTATTATTGATGTGCACCCCCCACCCAGATTGTGCTTATTTGCTTGAGTTATTAAACCCCGAACTATGGATGAAACTATGGTTCGGCTTTTTAAGTGTCAAGGGTGTGATTGACCATTCCTATGGCTCTTTTGGCTCCACTTTGGTTCACATTCTTGCAGGACCATGACAAAGCCAAACCTTAAGCATCCGTTCATCAATGATTTGAGAAGGGGCGCCCACAAGGATCGATTTAAGCGCGTCCAAGCCTCTAAGTTTGGGAAGCATCGGTCTTAGAGCATGAGGGAGTTTTAGAAGCTGAATTGCTACGAACACTTCCTTCGTGAACAACGAGACCACCGACTGGAAAGACAGCGAGGGCATCAATTTCAGGCTTGGCGGTGAACCTCGCTCTATGAGCTACCACGACTTTGCTGTCCCTTCGACCTCGACATGGACAATGATGAGGAGTATTTCACCAAGGTCGTCAACCCAACCGGTGTGTCCTTCAAGGCTCTGTACCCGGCTAGCTCAGCCAGCTCAGGACCCATTCACTGCGGGGTGGACAAAGGCCAGCACTCTACTGTTAGAGAATCGCCTGCTCCACCACCTACTCACGAAGTCCTTCACTCCAGCTGCCGAAAGTGCCAGCAACCTGACAAGGCGGTCCCTCTACTTCATCCACTCGATCCGCACTCAGCACCATGCACTCCACTTGGGATCGGTGGTGGCGAGGACTATGGACAAGAGTGCCTAGACTCTGGGAACCCTCCACTGCACCCCACTCATCACCCGACTGGCCGACTATTTCCAGGTCCCCTACCAGGATTGCATAGAGTAGGGTGGCACATGGTTGTTCGGAGAATATACGATCTCGAAGATGCACTTGCTGAGGGTCTCTTGCGGTGTCAAGTGGATTGAAGGCCTTCTTGTTCCCCCCATTCCCGACCTCCCTAGGGAGGATCAGACCGCGGCCCTTGAGGATGCTGCCCCAGAGGATGTTAACCCTGAGGATGTGGACGCTTCTGGCGAGCACCCTCCTAAACCATAGTTTATCCTCTCAACTCCTAATTTCTATTTGTCATGAGTAATTGCGGGTACCGAAGATCAATCCCTAGAGACCCTAGAAACGGGTTTCTTACACCCATCCATTCACGTTACTTTTCCATGTTCCATTACAAATTACAGTTTTTGTATCTCAACTTAATAGGTATGAATATTTAGTACTTAAAACTATATTTTACATTCGATTCCTAAAAATATTGATGGAAATAACATTTTAGTACCTGAAAATTTTTTCATTACATTTTTGTACCTAAACTTTTTCAAATTTACAAACTGGTCTACTATTTGTTGCATGCTTAAGAAGTTGCGGCATGTTTTGAGGTTGTGGCATGCTTTGAGGTTTGTGGCATGCTTGGAAGAGGTTGTGGCCTGGTTCGTGTCCCCCTCCCTTCCTTCCTCCCCTTCCCCAATTTTGCATAATACCAAGCGTGCCCCTCCTTCCGCTTCCCCCTCATTAGGTGTGGTCAACTCATTTAAATAGAAAAGTCATCCACACGAAATGTTCTTATTGGCTAGAGCTAGTGTTAGCACCATACTAAGAAAAAAAGTGTTAGCACCCTAACTCCTCCCTTCAATTCACCCAACTCTAAAAGTGGTCGCAACACATCGAATTTTGAAATTTACATGGTGGCATTACTCTAATAGAATGATATAACATAGAATCACAACTAATCAATCCAATACCCTAATCCCTTAACTTTCGATTTTGTAACCCAACCCAAAATCCCAAATTTTAAACCTAAACCCTAACTCTAAGGGCTCGTTTGGAGAATATGAGTCTAAATCTATAGATTGTCAACAATCTAAAAATTACAACTCTTCGGATTGTTGAAAATAGATTTTAAAAAGTTTATTGTTTGGTAACTTTGATTGTTAACTTTCAATAAAAATAAAAATTATAACTTTATATTAAATATAATATTTATCCATAACAAAAAATTAGAGTGGTTTGAGAAATATTGAAAACTTTGTTGATAAATATATTTAATGTGATAAATAAATAAAAGGAAGAGATAAACTAGGAGAAAAAAAATCTCACGAATCAAGATATAGAATCTCTTTGATTATGAGAGATATGATATCCACAGATTTTAGAGATTTGAAATATCTAATGCTAAAATTCATCATACAAAAAGAAACAAAAAAAACATAACATTCTACAAAATCTATGGATTCAGTAAATCCACGGCCTAAATCCTGTTCTCCAAACGACCCCTAAATCTCTAAATCCTAAACTCTAAACTCTAATCCATCATACCATAAGAGGCGATTTACATCGTTTTTACATGAATCGTTAGCTCAAAATGACGATTATGAGGCGAGTTATGAAAATGGATACGATCATTATGGGTGTCCATTATCGTAGAATAACAAGGCCGGAACATGATTAAGTGTTATGCAACAACCAGTAATAACCTCTACTGGTTGGATTTTATACTCAAATCCAAATAGAAGAACAAATCAACAAATACATGGGAGAGATCGAGATAGAGAGAATCATCGAGTATTGCCAAAATCCAAAAGCCCAATCACCGAATCCATAAAACGATGACCGAGCTGAAGAAGACTAGTGATACATAAAGCAGGACACAAACCCAAGCTCGATAGGTCCACGGTGACGATGATGACGGTGATGTAGCAGAATAATCTTCACCAAGAATGAGGGCTTTGCAATCGGGCATGCGAGGATAGCGAGCGATGTTGCAATAATCAATTACGGCAAGCGGCTTGAGGGGATCGATATTAGGGTTCACGACAAGCGTGGCGACGTAGTAGATCTCACACACACAATCCGGCCGGTTTCTCGCTACCGACCTCATCGCCGGGCAGCAATATTCGCCCGGATCGGTATCTAATCCCTTGAGATAACCCTCGCAGCCGTTTAATAATTTCCACCCCGACCTGGTGCAGGAAGTTCCTTCTTGCGGATGATCAGTGGCCGTCGACGTGGAGTTGGAGATGGGCGGCTCCGTGTGGGCGTGGCGGTTGTTGGCGGCGTAAAGGAGAATGACTGGTAAGGCGACGGCGACGGCGATGGCGATGAGAAATAGGTTCGTCAAACTCCTCGATATCATAGTTGACTTCATTGGGTTTTCGTTTTAGGGTTGACTTGTGAAGTTGTGAGGGAGTCGGGTATTTAAATTGGGAAGCCAACGCGTATAGTTCTTTTTTTAAATAATTATTTGTCACATGAAAATTAATTTAATAACTTGAACAACAAGGCCAAGCCCAAGTGTGGGAGGGGAGGGGTTACGGTGCTAATTGTACAATAGTTAGCACCGTCCTAACCAAGGGAAAAACTACTACTAGTTTGAATTAGTAGTGATTTAACTTAGATGTTGTATTGATTTTATAATAATCCGTAGTGATTTTTGCTAGTTATCACGGTGCTAACCCCTATAAGGGTTAGCACCTAATCCCATCCCGTGTGGGAGAGATAGCGTGCAATTTTTTTTTTTAAGATACGAGTGATATAACGTGCAACTTTCAAAGTGTCAATTTAGGTTTGGAAACATAGGTGGTTTGGATTAGGGACTTTTTATAGTGGGACATGAGCCCATGGCCGGATGGTTTGGATTAGGGACTTTCTCTCCATGATTGTTCGACGGATTAGGATAGGGCGAGTAACCGTTTGTTACTCACCGTCAGTAACCACTTATCACTCGTTGATCTGGGCGGACTAATCGTGTGGCTGCGATTGATGCGGGATGGTCAGGGACATTTTGTCCGTTTATTTGAATTAATTACTCTCCTTCTTTATCCGTTGCGAATCTTTTGTGCGAGTTGGGATTGTGTTTTTGGAGAGAGAAAGTGCAAGCAGCAGCTTAGAAACACGGGACCTAGCTATGGAGAATTTTTCTCTCCATAATTGTTCGACGGCGAGAACTTAGGTGGATCACCTAAATCGACGACGAGTTTATCTCCGGTTAGATATTAGTTTTCCTGATTCTTCCTGTTCTGTCATTAATTTTTAACCTGGCGTGATTCGTTGAGCCTTCTGTCAATCTTTGGTTTCGTTGAGCATTCTGTCGATCTTTGGTTTCGTTGTAGGTTTTCGTTGCGATAATTGCTAGTTACATTGAGATTTTGTGTTTATTTGTAGGTTTTCTAGATTCTTCTGTGTGTGAGTTTCTTTGTGTTTTTGTTTAGCTAATCGAGCTTGTTCATGATTTTTAATGTTTGGTTTATGTTCATGTTCTTTGTGTTTTGGTGTTTTTGCAGGATTCCGGTGAAATGAGTTATGTAAATTATGGTGAGGTTGTTCAATTCGATAGATCTGTTTCTTTATCTAGCATTGTAGGATCTGGTTCTTCATCTGGCGTTGTTGGAACTAGTTCTTCATCTAGCAATGTTGGATTTGGTCATTCACCTAACTTTGATGTATCAGGAGGTAGAGAAATTTTACAATGCTATATAGTATTGGTGCTATAGGTTTTTGCCTTTATGGTACAACATAAAATTGTACATTTACGTTATGGTACAACTTTAGATTGTACCTATACTTTTTGTACAAATTCTTTTATGGTACAACTTGAACTTGTACATTTATGTGATGGTACAACTTCAAGTTGTAAAGTTGTACCATAACATAATGGTACAAATTGCATTATGGTACAACCTAAACTTATACATTTAATGTTATGGTACAACTTTGAGTTGTACATTAAAGCACCAATGCTATATAGCATAGTAGAAGTGCTCTCAGGAGGTAAGATATACAATTTTTTTTTGTTAATTGAAGTTTGAATGTGTTAGATACCATATGGTAACATGGTGGTAATTACTGGTATATGCTGAAAGGTGATAAGACAAAATTTTGAATCAATTTATTGGTCCAGCTCATCCAGTACTTATCATTGGACCTTAAATCGAAGTCAGGCATCACAATGTACATCCCACATGACTTGAAGTCTGATTGTGTAACCTTTTCAAGGTTGAACCAGATAAACCTCTCCCACTTTACTGTCTTGTGTGCAAATTGTGTCTTCATGTAGTTGATTGCGTACTGGACAACCTTCTCTGCCATTTTTTGTAGTTTTTTTTTTTCAAAACATTTGTGATGGAGACTGTCGAGCACTTCAAACCTTTCTCCTTTGATGTTCACACAAATCGAAGTCAGGCATCACAATGTACATCCCACATGACTTGAAGTCTGATTGTGTAACCTTTTCAAGGTTGAACCAGATAAACCTCTCCCACTTTACTGTCTTGTGTGCAAATTGTGTCTTCATGTAGTTCATTGCGTACTGGACAACCTTCTCTGCCATTTTTTGTAGTTTTATTTTTTTCAAAACATTTGTGATGGAGACTGTCGAGCACTTCAAACCTTTCTCCTTTGATGTTCACACAAATCATGATGTAGTGTTTGTTATCACAGTAAGGGAAGAAACTTTGAAAAAGAATTTATAACTGATTAGAAGAAGTTTACATGGTAAGCACTAAAAATATATCTTGCCACATGGTATGATATAAAATTATGTTGAGAAACTTATAAGGTTACATTCTGTGAGCAGAGGTTTCTTGCCCATTCTTTGTTTTATTCCTGTTCATTCGATCTCCATACCAGTCGAGGATATCATATGTGATTTCACAGTCAATGTCAATCAACTGTAATGATTCCCTTTTCAGTAAGAATATTGCATCCTTCCTCCTAAACATAACCTCTTCACTCTATAAAAGCACATCACAACGGGACTTATTGTTTACTCCATTTTATAACATTAAACCATAGCTTACCACATCTTACCATATGGTATTAAACCAAAACAAAACAGGACTTGTGGATTACTGATAACGATATAATTGCACGTGTTTGCACCTCTAGTTCTTATCCGTTTGAGGAGCATAGTCGTGTATTTTTGGCCTATTTTATGCTGGGTTGTGCTATTTTGTCATATTTCAGGTCCCAGGCGTCAAAGGAAAGGCTAAGCACGAGTTTCGGGGCATTCGAAAGTCATTTCGTCAAGCTGGAGCCAAAACACATGCACACCTAAAGCAGAACACGGCCGTGCCTTTTATGCCGAGAGCTGATTTGAGAACACGGGCAGGGCTGAGAAATTACACGGCCGTGTCCATCATCAAACACGCCCATGTTTCTCCCAACACAATGGCCGTGTAATTAACCCTAGCCAAAGCACGGGCGGGCTGAGGCATTACACGGCCGTGCCCTCGACCGTGCTTTGACCACTGATGCCCTTTTAAGCAGATTTCAGCCAAAACAGAAAGGGATTCCAGTTTTAAAGAGACAGAGCAATTCCTAGAGAGAGAAAGCGACGAACAAGAGTCTCCAAGTGCCCTAGCTTGATCTTCATCACCATTGGAGCTTGGCTTGAGCTTGGAGAAGTGCCGATCAACGTCCAGAAGCAGGAATCCATCCTTCACATTATGAATTCCGCGTCTGATTCAGCTTTTGCTTCTTTCTCCATGGAGTAGTTCTCCCATTCATCTAGGTATGGAGAACCCTAGATTTGTATGTTAGGTTTGATTGTATGAACCCAAGTACTGATTCTATGATTTGATTATATTCGATTGAGGTTTGAATGATTGAATGGCATGAATCCTGATCAAATTCCTGTTGTTTCTGCTTTAACCTAGAATGAGAATATCTGACTAGGTTGATAGAGCATCCTTGATTGAAGGTAGGGAGTTGGTGACTTTAGTCGAGGAGCCAACTCACTATTCTGTACCGGATTCACTTTGGTAGTGGAGGTTTTGTTTGTTAAGGCCTCAATCTGTTTACTCCGGTGGAGGTTAGTCGCCCGCTAGAGACTCAGATTGAGAGGGTCTGAAGACCTTTAGTCGAGACTTCAGGCTGTTTAAGAACCTTCCGCAGTATAACTATCATAGAAACTGAACTTGGTAATTGCAATCCGGCTTAGCTGCAGTCTAGGGGGAACCATATCCGGGTGACCTCTCTTAACCTGAATACAACCGTTTACTTGCTTTGTTAGTTTGTTAGTTTGGACTTGCATTAAAGTTTCATTGCTAGATAACAAGAACTCACCAAGTAGTCATCAAACCTAGGACCCGGGTTGACATTTAAACCCAAATCCGCTATACTACGCTTTAGGAAGTGGTTACACTTGGCCAATTCCTAGGGTGACAGTAAGAGCGAGTCAAGTTTTTGGCGCCGTTGCCGGGGACGGCTAGGTTGTTGAAGAAAAGTGATTTCTGTTAATTTAGCTTTTCTTTTCCCGTTTTTGCTTTTTCCCACTTGTGCCTTCACGGGTTGCTTGTTTGATTGTGTGCAGGTAGTGCATGACCCGTAGCCAGTCGGGAGGTTTACTGCCGTTGAATCCAGAGATTGAACGCACCTGTCGCCAACTCATGAGACAACAACGAGCTAGACTGGCTACGGAAGAGCGCATAGACGGCCACGTGAGCAGTGATTCTGAGGAGGAGTACGAGATGGAAGACTACAATCAGCACCAGGGGAATCCTCAGCAGGCTCCCCCGGTGAATCAGGTCCTAGGGAACAACCCCATACCCCAGGATCATGGGGTTCATCATCCACCGCCGCCGGGTCCCACCTTGGAGTACTACTACACTCCGCGGATTGCTGACATCCGCCCGGTCATCCTCTACCCGCCTATCCCAGCAAACAACTTCGAGATCAAGCCATGCTGGATTTAGCTCATTACATCTTCTATCCAGTTCCATGGCTTGAAGGATGAGGAGGCCAGGGTACATCTCTCCCATTTTCTGCAGCTGACGAACGGGTTCAAGCTGAATGGTGTCCCGGATGATGCAATCCGCCTTCATCTCTTTCCCCATTCTCTGGCGGGGAATGCTAAGAGGTGGTTGGAGACCCAGCCCCCATTGTCCATCCCCTCTTGGGACGATCTGGCTGACAAATTCGTGCACAGGTACTATCCGGCATCGAAGACTACAGAGATTTAGCGAGAGATCACTCACTTCCGCCAAGAGCCAGATGAGTCACTTCGTGATGCATGGGAGCGGTACATGGGATATTTCTGGCAGTGTCCCCATCATGGCTTCAATGATGCATTCACAGTGGGGAACTTCTACAGTGCTCTCTCTCCAGATAGCCAGAGGGTGATTGAGTCTCTATGCCCAGGAGGGGATATTCTTACTAAGACTCCACCCGAGCTGAACCAGATGATTAATACCTTGGCTGCCAGAGATCATTCTTGGGGACAGAGTAGCAGAGGCAGACATTCCCGGGACCGTGGTGTGCACGCCATGGAGACAAGATCCGGGCTCGAGCAGCATGTAGCTGAGCTAGTGCAGACATTGAAGCAGCCCAATAGTCTGATTCCGGGCAGAGGTTTGGCTACACCTCCAGTAGCTCAATGTCAGTGGTGCGAGAGCTCCAATCACTTAGTGGAGGACTGCCAGGCTATGAGGGAGTCTACTACTCCCCAAGAGTAGTTGGACTTCATCGCCAATGCTCGGCGCCTCGACCCGTACAGTAACACATATAATGAGGGGTGGCGCCAGCATCCCAACTTCGCCTGGAGCAGCAACACCACTAAACCACCTGGTTTCCCAGCACCAGCAGGTGGTTTTCAGCAGAGGCAGCCCTTCCAGGCTCGACAGGGGCCAGCCCCACAGCAGCAGCCCTACCAGCTTAGGCAGGGGCAACCATTCCAGCAGCCCTAGCGCCAGTTTGCCGAGCCAGCAGCAGCAGCTCCTGCCCCAGATGACCGGATGACGAAGCTGGAAAATATTCTAGCTTCATTCATGACTAGCACTCAGGCAGCTATCACGTCACTGGAGGCAGGTCAGCGGAACCAGGGTGCCATTTTGCAAGATCTGCAGCACCAGGTGGGTATCTTGGCCCGCCAAAACACTACCAGGGCACCGGGGACTCTGCCTGCCACCACTGTTCCGAATCCTTGTGATCCTCACCAGCTCCAGCAGCTGGATGCCATTTTTACCAGGAGCGGTAAGACCATATCTGCTGATCCTGTCCCGGCCAGGCAGGAGGAACCATCACCTGCATCAGCACTTCCAGCAGACGATGCAGCAGTGCTGGTGGAGAAGGAAGCCCCTGCTCCCAAGCCACAACCAGTGGTTAAGGAGCATGTACCCCAGCTTCCCTTCCCCACTCGCCTACACAAGGACAAGTTGGAGACTGAGTTTGCCAATTTTATGGCAATGTTGAAGCAGCTCAACATCAACATACTGTTTGTGGAGGCACTGTCGAAGATGCCCAAGAACGCGAAGTTCATGAAAGATCTCCTCACCATCAAGCGACAGTGTTGATGAGCTAGGAGTGTTCTGCTATCCTGCAGAACAAGCTGCCCGAGAAGCGAAAAGACCCAGGGAGTTTCACTATCCCTCATACTATTGGCAACATGCAGGTAGGCAAGTCCTTGGCGGACTTAGGCGCTAGCATAAATGTCATGCCATATAAGTTGTA